TGAACTACTTCTCCTGCTCTTCCTGTTTTTCCTCTCCCTCCTCCTCCTCCTCCTCCTCCTCCTCCTCCTCCTCCTCCTCCTCCTCCTCCACCCCCTTATCCTCCTCCTCCTCCCCCTCCTCCTCCTCGTCTTCCTCCTCCTGACCGCCGCTCTGTCACACAGGAGCGGCGGGCGGCCAAGGGGGGGGGGGGGCGCACGACTTCCCGCTCGGGCACCCCGCGGGCGGCTCGCGACAGGTGAGGCCCGCGGGCCGGTGGGCTCTGCGGGCACTGGGTTTCAACCCGATGTTCGCGACGGGCGCGGGGACGCAGGAAATGCTGTGGAGGCCCATGCCAGGAAACACCCTGCTTGCCTCCAGGGTGCCCGGGGTTTTTTGGGTTCCGATGGTCTTGCGATGACGAGCGCGACGTTCCCGCACCAGAAATCAATGGACGTCCTGGGGTCTCAGGGTTGGGTTTCTTGTGAGGGTTTCTTGAGAACTGGCCTCCACTGAAGTTCAGAGTTGTGCGAACGTGGATCTGGCGACGTCGGCAGGTACGCCATCGACTTACAGGAGAGCGGAAAAAGAGCAACGACTCGTCGAGTGGATAGACGATGGGCATTGGAGGTTTCGAATACGATATCCCCATTTTCGAACATAACAACAGGTTGTGCGATTAGAATGGGAGAGAAGTTCGGAAAGAAGCACGCGAGGCAAGACACATCAACTAGAGACAGCACATTGCGATCGTTTTCTTATTCATTGGTTTGCCGATCGGCGCGGGCCCTCATCCCCCTCCCTCCTCCCCCCCCGTGGAGTAGATCTTGCCTGTTTCTGGCGTTTGTTTCGACCAGGTGGTATATCCCCGATAAAGCGCATTGCTACATGCAAGCCTGAAGCATATGTCCGGAGCCAGACCCCCCCCTCCCTTCCTGTCCGCCCAATGTCGAAACGCTCACTAAGAAAACGTTCACATGTGCGCAACTGGCGCGGCGAAGGCCACGCTGGAGCACACATACTATAGAGCAACGGGCGCAAGCAATGGTATCGATCCTCCATCTACCCCAGCAGGTTTGACAGACATGGCTTCACAATGTTCACCACTATTCGGGTTGGGGGCTGAATTCCAGGCCTTTCGGTGGCCACCGCCGCGAGGTCATATGTTTTGTGCTTCGAAATGCAAGGCATGCAACCTCTAGGACTGGAAGCAGGCGCGAATACGCAGATGTCGCGCTGGAATGCTGATGATAGGATAAGATGTTTACGGAAGGGATACTGTCGAGCAGAGTTCTTTTTCGCGGTGGAAGCGTCATTTCGAGAGAGAGAGAGAGAGAGAAGTTTCTGGGATGGTGATGAAATTGCGCGGGTGACCTGGCGAGATCTTTCAGTTCATGGAGGGTTCTCTCGCGCAGGTGGTGAAACAGTTTTTCGGCCATCAATCAGGCGCCCACTGGCCCTTCGCATCGCCGTGGTGCTTCGGAGGGCCGGAACTTCTGAAGGAGGAGGGCTCGTCATCGACGGTCAAAAGTAGGCATGGCAGGAGATAGCAGTGAGTTGTTCGAACGCGAACAGCGCCTGGCACAACTCAGCCAACACCTGCGACGTCGACGATAGCATGTTGCTCGCATGCGGCAGCAGGCTCTGGTCGAGGATATTGAGAGGCATGGGGGAGGAGACGCATGGCGGAGCCGATGCGACTCATCAGAACCAGCCCGACGCATGCATGGACATAGGCGTCGCAATGGTCGCCTATTCCAAGTAGGTCACTTCGACGCGGACACGTTGATCGAACACTGGTCTTAGCCAGGAAGTCGAGGAGGCATGCAGGATACAGTCATACCAGATTCAAATGGATGGTCGGCGTCAGTGCCAGCAGGCCCCAGTCCGCACATGTCCGGCGGAGGGTCGCACCTTGGCGGGCGAGGACAGGAGAGGGGTCGCCAAGCCAAGTACTATCGCTCGGCCACGAAGCGACGAGCAGCGCCGACTGGCACGGCGCCCGCTGAGCCCCGGCACGTCCGCTTGCGCCCAGCGGCGATCGTCAGCAAGGCTGGGCAAGGATAGCGAATCCAACAGGAGATCCAGGAGACGCACATGCGCGAAGAAATTTTGGAGGGGAGGTCCAGGCTCACCGGGGCCGCGGACCGCGCGCCGATGGGATGGCACTGCAGTTCGGAAGCTCGGTCGGGGAAAGAAAAACGCCAAGCCAGGGCCCGCGGGGCCACGCGCGGCTCGCGTTTTTTTCACCGCAGAGGAGAGCATGTGGCCCCGAACTTCCGCGCGTTCCGCCGATGGCGATCGAGCAGGGGCGTTGCCGCGACAGTAGGAGGGAGGGCGCCGCACGTTCTGCTCGGCTTCTGCAACTGCGCCTCCGTCGAGCAGGCAGCAGATTCACGCGGGGGTTAAAGGTCATGACGAGCGCTTCTGCTTGCGGGCCCGAAAACACGAAACATGCACGCGGCCCCCGAAGACGTCGACCCGCGCGCGCAAAGGTTCTGACATAGCGCATCGCGGTTGGAGTCTCTGGAGGGAGGGGGTCGCTGGAAGTCGCGCAAGGGAGGCGCGATGGGTGGCCCGCGCATAGCGGCGCTATGCAGAGGCACCTTCTCGAGGCCAGTAACGCACTGGCTGTGGCGCCTCCGAGAGATCGACCCCGCGTCGATGGGGGTCGGCTGCGCATTGGAACGAGGTCAGCGCGCATGTCGGCGCGCGCCCGCGCGCCGGAGACTTGGCCAAAGCCCGCGTGGCAGGGCATTTCTCCTCAGCGGGTGTTTTCTCATGGGTTCTTCGAGGGGCAGACGAGGCGCTCTCCGCGGGGTCGCCAGAGTTCGCTCGCTCGCAGGACGTCGCAAGGCAGGAAATCCAGGGTCAGTCAGCATTTGTTGTCGGCAGTGGGTGAGGGGGGCGGGTGGGTCGAGGATATCAGAACAATTTTAGGATGACGTTCGATGCCTGGCGCCTCGGATCAATCTGCCGCAATCCGCTTTGGTTGAAGTTCGTCGTCGGTCTCCAGCCACAGCTGAGGCGTACTACTCACTGGGCAAGGTTTGGAGTTCACCAGTCCCGTTCCGCTGGAAGCGGACATTCTTCCCGAGTTTCGCTCGGGGGCGGCCGCGGCGGGTCTGGAACCAGCGCCGCTGACCGCTACCCGCCATCGAGAACTGGGCGCGTTAATGGCGCGCTCTGGGAGGAGGGCCGCGCGGGGGAAGGCGGCGACATCGAAGGAGGAACAGAGGGTTCAAACGCTTTCGAAGCAACCTGGCCGTTCAGCGCGGGCGTCGAGCAAGCTCCGAGAGGAGTGGCGCCTGACCAGAAGGCGGGGGTGGCGTCGAAGCTGGGCCGCGGGCCCAGCGACTCGCCGGCAGGGGCCGCGCCCGATGCCTGGCGCACTGCCGCTGAATCTCATATGCGCTCCGATGACCGGCAATCAAAATGCTCCGTCTGTTGCTCCGCCGCGGCTTCTCTGCGCGGGGGCTTCGCGCGGACCTCGGAGGAGTCGATGTTCTCCGTAGTCGTGTGGTCGAGTCGCGCATCCCGCGGCGCGCTGACCCCCGACTGCCGGCGCGCCCCCGGGAAGGCGGCGCCGCCGGGGGAGAACGACGCGGCGACGACGCGCGCGGGCCCCATCATGCCAAGGCAACCTCCAAAAGAGCCGAAGGACCGGCAGCGGCAAGGGGGATCTCCAGAAGCTCGCGAAGACGGCGATGACGCGGGCGGTTCTTTGATCATACAAGTGGTAGTGTGAGCGAAACAGGGGCGAACAGGACGAGGGCAGCAACCATCGTGGGCGGATCTTTTCCGCGTTGGACACGACCGCCAAGTTCGGGCTGGAGTTGCCGACGCAGATCGAGAGCATGCTCGCGGGGCTGAAGGCGGAGAGGAAGATCGGACCCGCCCCGCGCGGCCCTGCTAGAGAGGAATGCAAGCCAAATTTTCGGCAGAGATCGAGTCCAGCGGCGGAAGCGGGCAATGGGCAGCGATCCAGCAGCAAGGAGTAGACGACACCAAGTCCGGCATAATTTTATAAGGCGAGAATGCGCGCGACAGTGCGAGATTGGCCACATTCATCGCGCGCGGACATGTATCAGCTGATGTTTTGGGCCCGAGCGTTGCCTACACCCCGTCAGCCTATAATTTTAAAATAGGGAGCACCCACATTATCCAGAGGGCAGCGTTGCAGCCAAACCAGACATGGAAGGGCATAATCAAGGGCAAGGGTCGGTAGCAGAGCGAGTTAGTCCCCATTCGCGGTGCCGCGCTGGAAGGTTTGTCAGGGTCACGTTTCACCCCCCAGACATCCCCCTGCCCCACCCAGTCAGGTAGTCAGTTTGGCAGGCGATAAACAGCAGCAGACGAAGTCCCATGGGCCTGATCCTGATCCTCCTTCTCATTTTCCCTTTTTTCCTCCTCCTCGTCCTCCTCCTCCCTCCTTGACTTCTCCTCTCCAAAAGCGTTCCTCCTCCACCACCTACGCCGTCCGCTTCCTTCTCCCCTTCCGCCAGCCTTCCCCGCACCCTCCACACCTCATCATTCCTTCTTGGACCAAGTATGCAGCCCCTGGGAGCATGCAAGCATCGGCGCGAGCGTTCCCGTGGTCGAAACCAGGCATAGTTTGGCATGATTATGCTGTTTGTCCCGCTGAATCCCGCGTAGTCTTGCTCAACATGGTTTAATTTGGGCGAGTCCAAATTTGTTGCCCCCAATCGAGTTGAATAACCCTTCGTGTTCCTCCCAGGACTGTACTCCCAGGTGGCTTTCCAAATCCCCTTTCCCCCCCCATGACGCGAGAGAAGGAGGCGGAAGAGGAGGAGGAGGACGACGACGAGGAGGAGGAGGAGTAGGAATAGGAGAGGGAGGAGACGAGCAGGAGGAAGAGGAGGACGACCAGGAGGAGGAGGAGGAGGAGGAGGAGGAGGAAGAAGAGAAAGAAGAAGAAGAAGAAGAAGAAAGAGAAGAAGAGGAGGAGGCCGACGAGAGGGTCGACGACGACGACGACGATGACGACGACGAACGGCCCAAGGCTACGGCTGTGGCGGCTGCGCCCGTGGCCCAGATGGAAAACTGCCAGAGGCTGAGCTCCGTGGACGGGGGCCAGGGCCGGGCAGCGCCAAGGGGGGTCGCCAGCGAGGGGTGTCGCCAGCTCCGGGAGATCGAGGTTCAAGCCTCCACCGCAATTTTTTCTTCCTCCTCCTCCTCCACGTCCTCCTCCTCGTCAATCTCCTCCTCCTCCGCCTCCTCCTCTTCCTCCTCCGCCACCTCCTCCTCCTCCTCCTCCTCCTCCTCCTCCTCCTCCTCCTCCTCCTCCTCCTCCTCCTCAGCCATTCCGCGCCCCAGTGGCCCCGCCCGGCGTGGGCCGGCCCAGGTGTTCCCAATGCGAACTTCGGAGCGGCGTTGCATCGGGGAGCCATCAAGAACCATGGGCCATCAAGAAGCGGCAGCTAGCCGTGAATAGGCTCAGACAGAGGGGCCAGGATGTCCTCTCCTCTCGTCCTCTCCTTTCCCGCGGCACCTCCCTCCGTCGTCCTGGTGAGCACCGGTGTCGTTGCACAACACACCGGCGACAGAGCGCAGGGGCCCGACGCTTTCATCAGTTACATTGCTGAAATCGGCGTGTGCGAGAAGAGCGAACAGTGGCAGCAGACGCTGGCCTGGCTCCGAGAGCGGGCGAGAGTAGAGAAACAGCCCGACGTGCTCAGCTACAACGCCGAAAGAGCATGCGAGAACAACGGGCATTGGCAGCAGGCGCTGGCTAGACTCAGAAATACGGAGACGAAACCAGAGCCTGACGTCCTTAGCTACAGCGTTGAAGCCAGCGCGTGCGAGAAGGGCGAGCAGTGGCAGCAGGCTCTGGCTGGAACGCGAGATGCTGGAGGCAGGCTGAGAGAAACGTGCGGGGGGGGGGCACAATCAGCTACAATGCTGGGAGCAAGCCGTGCGAGAAAGGGAGCTAGCAGTGGCAGCGGACGCTGGCACAGCAAAACGTGTGGATGGGCGATCAGCTACAACGTTGGGAACAGTCCGTGCGAGAAAGAGAGCGGGCAGTGGCAGCAGACGCTGGCGCTGAGAGAAGCGGGCGGGCATGCCACGATCAGCTACAACGCTGGGAGCAAGCCGTGCGAGAAAAGGCGAGCGCAGCGGCAGCGGGCGCTGGTGCTGAGCAAAACGTGCGGGTGGGCGATCAGCTGCAACGTTGGGAACAGTCCGTGCGAGAAAGGCCGAGCGCAGTGGCAGGGGACGCTGGCGCTGAGCGAAACGCGCGTGTGGGCCACGATCAGCTAAAACTCTGGGAGCAGTCCGTGCGAGAAAGGGCGAGCGCAGTGACAGGGGACGCTGGCGCTGAGCGAAACGCGCGGGTGGGCCACGATCAACTACAACGCTGGGAGAAGCCCGTGCGAGAAAGGGCGAGCGCAGTGGCAGCGGGCGCTGGTGCTGAGCGAAACGCGCGGGTGGGCCACCGTCAGCTACAGCGTTGGGAGCAGTCCGTGCGAGAAGGGGGGCGCACAGCGGCCGTGGATTAGGGGAATACGCCTTGTAGATCCTGGCGCTGCGAGAAAACGGCTGCGGGAAGTGGGAGGCGATGATAGAGCCCGACGGCATCGAATTATTTCTGCTAGGAACAGTCGTGCGCGAAAGTGCAGGGGCGTACATCACCAGCTGCTGTGCATGGATCAGCTCGTGTGCGGAAGGCCGGGGAGCAATCGTGCGAGGCAGAGTTGCGTTTCATTGGGAACCAGTCGACAGCCTCTCGTGGGAAACGGGGGGCGAAGCTGGAACCCAACATCGCCGACAGCACCAAAGCCAGCCTCTTGCGACAAGCGGGGGGCAAAGCTGGAGCCTATTTGTTTTGACCGAAGCCGACCTCCATCGCCCAGGGACGGCCTGGGCGGCCTGGGGCGAGTGAGGCTTCAGTCGTCGCCGCGGTGCGTGCCTCGCATATGCGGGGATCAGGCCTGCAACGCCCTGCAACATTTTCCTCAACATTTGCCATTACTTTGGCAACCACCGCGGGTGTTGCTTTCTTCCCCTCCGCCCTCCTTCTCCCTCTCTGCACGTTGTGCTTATCAAGACGCTTCTGTTCCTCCTCCTCCTCCTCCTCCTCCTCCTCCTCCTCCTCCTCCTCCTCCGTCCGTTTCCCTTCTGCACAGCTCCTCCCTGTCTCACCCGTAGACTGGTCGAAGATCGAGGATGTGTTTTTTTACGTATGGCTTGGCATCGCTAGGACGTGTGCGTGCCTGCTTCGGCGAGGACCATCGAAGAACATCCTGCACCATCGGGCAAGAGAAAACATATACACACACACACACGAGCGAAGTCGCTCCACCCGTCTCCCCCTCCGGCTGCTGCCCCGTGGCCCTCTAGCCCGTCGAGACGTCCAGCTTCTGCGCTGGGAGAAAGAGGGGAAGGTGGCGGAGGAAGCGGAGGAAGAGGAAGCGGAGGAGGAGGAGGAGGACATCGAAACATGCATGGGGAATGGACGTCCCAGCGATGGCGAGGAGGTGTTTTGACGGTTGGGAGGCCGCTTCGGATGGCTCTAGAGGGGTCTTTGGGGGCCCACTTCCTCCAGAAGAGATCGCTTCCCCGAGGAAGTGGCTACCCCCCCTAGTGGTGACCCCCCCCTTTGGCATTAAGTCGGGCGTGTCTCTCTACAGAAGGAACATTCAACAATAGTACGGGGGCGAAACTTGGATTATTGTTGGCCATGTTTGAGTATTTGGCTGGCGATTTTCATTTGTCGGCCAAAGTCCGCCTGTAGGGGGACACGCCCGACCTAAACTCAGCACTGCCCAAAACAGAGGGGCGTGGGGCGTCGAGCGACGAAGACGACGAATGTCGCAGCCCGGGTGGACGTCGAAGACGACGAACGTCGACGTCAGGGGGGGGGGCGCAGGGCGTGCCGCCAACCTTGAACGACGACGACGACGACGACCACGATGACGACGACGACGACGAACTTTCGCGCGGGCCTCTTGGGCGTAGTTTGGGGAACTCTTGGGAGGCTCTCGGGGGCCGCGTGGGAGCCTCGTGGGGGCCTCTTGGGGGTTCCTGGGTGTCTCTTGGGGGCCTCTTTGGAGCCTGTCAGGCCGAGGCCTCGAAATGTCCGTTCGGGTCCCCAGTCTGGGCGAGCCGTCTTAGGGGCCTCTTGGGCTGTCCTGGAGGCCTCTTGGACGGTCTTGGGCCCTGTTGGGCTGTTTTGGGGGCCTCTTGGGCGATCTCGGGGGCCTCTTGGGCTGCCTTGGAGCGTCGGGAAGCCGGCAAGGCGAGACAAACCTATGGAGCATCTAGGATCGTTGCCCCTTGGGACCCTCTTGGGAGTGCTCGTGGGGGCCTCTTGGGGCGTTTTGCAAACCTCCTTGAGCCGTATGGAGGCTACTTTGGCGTCTTGGACCGATCGTTCGGCGATTCGGGGCTCTCGAGGACTGTCTGGGGGGTCCTTGGGGCACTCTTGCATCGTCTTGGGGCTTTCCTGAGCCCCCGAACCGCCCATGGTGATGCGTATCTGGGAACTCCCCCCGGGACCCCCCCCGCCGCGCGGCGGGGAAGGGATGAAAGGGAAGGGGCTTCCGTTTGACTCAGCTACGACGTTGCTCAATGTCGCTTTGGTTGGCAGGCCCAGGGAAACGAGACAGGAGACGTCGGAGACGACGATTGACGGAAACGACGAGGAGACGACTGAGACGGAGACGATGACGGAGACGACGAGTAGACGACACGACGACGACGACGACGACGACGACGACGACGACGACGGCGACCAGCATAAGAGCGTCTTCCACACGCCGAAAAGGTCGGCGGACGTTAGAGGCGGATAGTCTTAATTCGGGCATGTCACTCTACAGGAGGAATATTCAAAATAGTACTAAACAAATAGTCTGGGGATGATGTGCTTCGTATGTTTTGACTAAGTTGGGGTATGCTTTGTATGTTTTAATTTTTCACCCAAAATCCGCCTGTAGGAGGGCATGCCCGACCTAAGGATAGTCTCGGAGTTCAAGGCTCGATTTTCGAAAATTGAGGCTCGCATTCTGGTCATTTCTGGACGTCCCGGAGTGCCCTATTGGCTGGATCCGCTTCGAAATTCTGGTCAGAGCGCACCCCATGGAGTCCAAGGCAGCTGGAGGCTTGATTTATGGCCCGGAAGCTACGAGGAAGCGTCAGGGGAACGTAAGGCGAGCTATGGCTTGATCTCGGGTCAACGGAAGGGGTGAATAGGCTCAGGGGGGGATAGGCTCAGGGGGGAAGCATCGACCCCCAATCACCTGGTGATCGCCGATCACAGACCACCCCGCCCAGGGACAGGGGAATTCGCTACAGAGGTAACCCATGTCAACAAGCACCCTGCTTGCCTCCAGGGTGCCCTGGGTTTCTTGGGTTTCGATGGTTTCAGGATTGGGTTTCTTGTGGAAGATTTTCTAGTGGTCGAGCTCCGATTGTATCGGGTGCGACGAATGGTGACCACGAGCGACGACGGGTCAGAGCGGTCGGCGCAACGGGCACCTTGGGCGTGAAAGACGGTGAAGTTCGCCGCTGATTACATGAGACCATTAAGCAGCTTCACCTGTAAAGTTCCGCTGCAGGGAGGATGTTTTTTGTTACCCTTTGGGCCACAACGCGCGTTATGCCCCCTACCCTCCCCCCCTTCCCCCCCCCATAACGTAACGCTCCCCCCCTCAGTGCGTCCCCGACATTGCCGCAGTGCGTCCGGCACCACAGTCTGGGGGGGGGCTACGTTATGCTCCCTCCCGTCCCCCCCCCATAACGCCCGCTACGGACGCGAATGCAAAATTCGCTCCAGGGTGTTCACGGTTCCGTCGGTTCGGCTGCGTCGCAGTCGGTTGCATTCGGTCGGTACGGTTCGGTCTGACATGGTGTGTTGCCGCGTCGTTGCGCCCGGCCTGTCGGTTTCGGTCGGTGTCGGTTTCGTTGAAGGTTCGGTCGGTTTTCGTCATGGTGTCACTTTTCACGGCCTTGAACCTCGAACTAGTGTGCGAGCCTATCATGATGCACCTGTTTGGATTGTCTGACGCTTGGGGGGGTACCCTGAAGGGGGGGGGGTGGAAGAGAATTAGAGCAGTAAGTTCTGGCGTATACCCAGCACGCGCCTGGTGCACGCTCGTTGGCCTTTTGCGGCATTGCCGCCTGCCAGAACGAGGGAGAAGGGAGGAATATGGAAAGAGGCAGGGAGGAGGGAAGGCGGAGGGAGGGAACATGAGGCAGGGAGGGAGGAACGGGGGCGGGAGGAGGAAGGAAGAAGCGGGAGGTCGGGAACGACCACAGCGGCCAAAGAAGATAGGTGCGTTCATGAGCAGTGCATGACGTTGAGAGTAGGGCTGGACCTAAACGCTGTTTTGTTGGACGTTGGCTGTGCTTTGTTTTTCGTTGTGGGAGCGAGGTACAGGACAGAAGGTAGAGCGAAACAAACCACAAAACGAACACAACACGAACAGGAACGTTTGGGCCCAGCCCGGGCTGAGAAGTGGAAGGAAGCGGGCAGGGAGGGGAAGATGGAGACAGCCAGATGGAAGGAGCAGGAGGGAGGAGGAAGAAAGAGAAGGATGAAGAAAGAGGGAGGAGGCAGAAGGAAGAAGGAAGCAAGAGGGAGATGGAAGGAGCAGGAGGGAGGAGGAAGGAAGAGAGGGAGGATGGGGGCGGGCAGCGGAGGAGAAAGACACGTCGGCCTTGCACAAGAACATCGCCGAGAAGGGCACCAACGCGTACTATTTCGCCCACAGCAGGACCGCGCCCGGTTGGGGGCTATTTTCCTTCTCTTGCTCAAGACGCTTCGCGCTCACCGCTCGCCCATTCCAGCTCTCCTCCTCCTTCTCCTCCTCCTCCACCTCCTCCTCCTCCTCCTCCTCCTTCTCCTCCTCCTCCTCCTCCTCCTCCCTCCTCCTCCTCCTTCTCCTCCTCCTCCTCCTCCCCCCTCCCCCCCTCCTCCTCCCTCCTCCCTCCTCCTCCTCCCTCCTCCCTCCTCCCTCCTCCCTCCTCCTCCCCCTCCCCCTCCTCCCTCCTCCTCCTCCTCCTCCTCCTCCTCCTCCTCCTCCTCCTCCTCCTCCTCCTCCTCCTCCTCCTCCTCCTCCTCCTCTCCTCCTCCTCCTCCTCCTCCCCCCCATGCCCGCTTCTTCAAGAGACGCAAACAGCACCAAAACTGAATGACAATATGCCGGAAAATTGTGACAGATTTCCCCACAGGTGTGTTTTGTGCTGTCCCAGCGCCGATCGGGCTCTGGTATACCGTGCGGCTGATCGATGTTGATTTCGTCAGTTAGCCGTCGGCCCGCCATCGTAGCTAGCGGATCAGTGCTGTGGACGCTGGCACTCGTGACCTTGGCTCCCTATCCACAGCAGGAGGCCAGTGACACTGGAAACACTGCCCGAGACCAGCCAAAGACAGCCCGAAGACGGCTGAAGAGGCGCCCTCGAGGGCCGAGGAGGGCCCAGAGAAGGGCCCAAAAGGGGGCCACGAAGAGCCCGAGGTGGCCCAGGGGTGCCCTTCGACGGCCCATGCGACGGCACGTCCGCGTTTGGCCACGGCCCCGTCCCAGCTGCGTTGGAAACCGGGCAGCTTCGGTGCCGCTTCGAGCTTCGCTGCGGGTGCCAAACTGGAGCCGTCATCGTTTGGAACTGACTGGCACAGGGGCGCGCCCAATCACGGCGGCGAGGTTTGAAGGTCGCATGTTAGCCAGCGTGGGCCCACACAGTGTGTTGTAGCGTACTACGCAGTGCAATCTGTGCGGTGCAATCTATGGGCTGCAGCTAATTTCTGTTCGCAGTGAGTTGTCCACTCCACTGCTCGCGCAAACATCCCACCCACCCACCCGCAACTTGGTTTGCAAAATCTCTTGAGACCGTGACGGTGGGTACCACATGGCACTTGGCAACAACAGCGACGCCGACGACGACAGCGACAACGACGATGACGACGCCGCCGACAACGACTACGACGACACCGACGACGTCTCCAACAGCTTCGACGACGCCGACAACAACGACGACGACGACGACGACACCGACGACGACGACGACACCGACGCCGACGACGACGATGACAACGACGACGACGATGACGACTCCGACGGCGACGATAACGACGACACCGACGACGACGACGTCAACGACGACGACGACGACGACGACGACGACGACGACGGCGGCGACGACGACGACGCCGACGTCGACGACGACGAAGACGACAACGACGCCGACGCCGACGACGACGACGAAGACGACGACGACGTCGCCAACGAAGACAACGAGGAAGGAGGGAGGACGACGACGGCGACAACGACGACAACGACGAGGGAGGAGGGAGGACGGCGACGACGCGAACGACGAAGAAGGAGGAAGGACGGCGACGCCGACGACGGCAACGACGAGGGAGGAGGGAAGACGACGACGACGACAACGACGACGACGACGACGGTGACGAAATAGGAGGGACGACGACGAGACGCCGACGACGGACGACGACGACGACGTGGGAGGAGGAGGACGGACGACCACGGCGACAACGACGACGGAAACGACCACGACGCCAAAGAGGACGACGACGACGAACACGAGAAAAGACAGAGGACGACGTAGGCGACGACGACGACGACGCGGGAGGAGGGAGGACGGCGACGACGACGACGACGACGACGACGACGACGCAAGAGCGCGCGCGCACGCTTTTGATGAAAATCCGTGTTGCGAAACCTTAGGTGTTTGTATGTTTTTTGGACGCGCGATTTTGAAATCCTCCCGAAACCGATGGGTTTAGAAGGTTTTCGGCATACGCCAGCGACGACGCGCGCGTCTGCACTTCGTCCCGATTCTCGCGACGGCACACGCGCAAGGGCGTTCGACAGATTTCGACATGCGCGCGCGAAGCCCGTTTGGTAGTATTTTGTGAAAGTATTGAAAAACCTATGGTTTTCTTAAGATTTCGCAAGAGCTCGCGCGGAAGCTGTTTTCGCAAATCAGTGTTGCGAAACCCTGTGTTTTTGTATGTTTTTTGGGAAACTCGATTGCGACATCCTTCCCGCACCGAAGGTTTTTGAAGGATTTCGGCATGGGCGCGCGACGACGCGCGCGTGTGCACTTCGTCCCATTGCTTTGCAAGGGATTCGTGGAGAAGGTGTTATGTTAGAACAAAAATGTGACCGCATAGCGTTTTTTCGCATATATATATGTGTATATATATATATATCACAAAAAAACTAGGGAACCTCATGGGGGGAACCAGGCCTGGCTGGGATGGTATGATTTCATATTTCGGATGGACGAGTGGTCAGAACCATATATGGTTTACATACCCGAAAGGGGAACCGATAAGTCCGGGGGGGTAGAGTCGATTCCCTGTTTTTGAAATGAGAATTCACTTAGCAGGATTTGAATTTGTCAAGCCCACTGCTCGCGCAATCATCCATCTCACCCGCCCACCCGCAATTTGGCTGGCAAAACCCATGCGGCGGCGATTGCGATGACTGCTTGGCGCTTGCTGGCGCATCGCTGCGACCGCGCTAGCGCGCGCAGGCTCGCAAGCAGCCACGACACGTGTGGCGGATGTGCCACAATCGGCGGGGAACCGCGTTTGGAGCGCGCCACTGGGGCCTACGGTGGAGCTCCCTCTGAGGCTACGACGCACACGTCAATGGGGTGTGTCGAAACCTGTGGCGAACCGCATGCGAACTACGCCGCTGGGACCCTAGGTAGAGTTCCCGAAGCGTGTGAGGGGCGTGCCGAACTGGGCGGGGAAACGCATGCGAGTTTCGTATATGGCACCTTCGGTTGAGCTTCTTATGGGGCCGCGAAGCGTGTGAGGGGTGTGCCGAAGATGGTTGGGAGCCGCATGTGGGCTTCGCCACCAGGGCCTTCGGTGGAGCTCCCTATGAGGCCACGGCGCGTGCGAGGGGCGTGCCGACATGGGCGGAAAAGACTGCGTGTGAACTTTGCCCGTGGATCATCCGGTGGAGATCCGTATAGGGCCACGAAGCGTGAGACGGATGTGCCGACATGAGCGGGAAACCGCGTGCGACATTTGCCACTGGGGCCTTCGGTGGAGCTCCCTCTGGGGCCGCGAAGCGTGTGAGGGGCGTGAAGAAATGGGCGGGGAACCGCATGCGAACTGTGCAGCTGGCACCTTCGGTGAGGCCCCACGTGGGGCCGCAGAGCGGTTGAGGAGTGTGTCGAAATGGGTCGTGAGCCGCATGTGGATTTTGCCACGCATGCGAATTTTGCCAGTAGGGCCTTCGGTGGAGCCCATTCTTGAGCCACGAAACGTGTGAGGGGCGTGCCGGCATTGGTGGAGCTCACTACGGGGTTGCGAAACTTGTGAGGGGTGTGCCGAGATTGGCGGGGACCGCATACGATGTTTGCCATTTCATGGGGCCACGAAGCACGCGAGGGGTGTGCCGAAGTGGTGGACATGCGGAGGGCTGAGGCAGGATTGGAGGAGGAATAAGAGGGGGTGAGGAATTTAGGAAGGAGATGCGGGGATTGTTAAACAACGAGGACCCAGTACCACAGGATGCTGGGGAAAAACCTAAGCTTGCACTAAGAATTCGCAAAAACGTGTTTGGGGAACTCTGTCTTGAAATCCCGGCCAAACCTCAGGTGCTTGACGAGTTCTGGCATGCGCGCGCGACGACGTGCGCGTGTCGACGTTCGCCCGTATTGTGCGAGGTATGTTTTCTTTACCCCAAAAATGGTGATGGTTGTTCAACGAGAGTTCGTGCAGAGTTTTATTTGACACGGATGAAGGGGGGCGGTAACGAGTCTAGCTTGCACCATACGAAGTCACATCTACATTGAATGATGGGGCACCATCATATGTAGTTGGTGCCATCACAGGGGTGGGCGAATACGCCGGGATTTGGGATGCGATAGGTCCGTACTGTGATAGGCCAGGTGCGTGGCGCACCTGACTTTCCAGAGCTTCAATTTTCCATTCCTTTGCTCTCGCCATGTGCGGGCAATGATTCTGTCCATATCCACTCCAGCTGGGAGTTTCGGGCACCCTTCCCCAGAAATCCGAGTTTCACTCGATATGGATGAAAGTCTGCCCCCTGGAGGCTCGATTCCAATCCAAACCCAGTGCGCCTCGACTTTGCGGCGCCCCTTCCAAGGAAATACCAAACCCAGTGGATATGGATAAAAATCTTGCCTGCACAATGACCCCTCGCTGGGGATTGCCCAGCGCGTCTCGCGGGCCGCGCCGGCGCGCTGGCACTTCAGTGCGCGTCGGTGGCGCGGGTGGGCTTGGCGTCATGTCGACGCCGGCACCGTCGGGGACAACGACGATGGTATTAAGTCGGGCATGTCCCTCTACAGGAGGAGTATTCGAAAACAGGCAAAACAAAACAGTCTGGGGACGATGCTCTTCTATGTTTGACCATTTGTGAGCATGTCTTGACAGTTTGAAGATTCTTTCCTCACAGCCCGTCTGCAGGAGGACACGCCCCACCTAACGATGGTAGCGATGATGGCGAGGACGATGACGATGACAGCGGCGCGCCCAATGACGGCGCAGGTGCTGGTCTCGGCGGCGAGCGAGCGGGGGAAGTGAGAAGGAGAAGGCCTTCTCAGAAGGTTCCGAAGTTCCCCAGCCTTCTGAGAAGTTTTCTAAGCCTTCCCCGAAGTCAGACCAAACTTCTCAGAAGACGCGAGGGTTTCTGAGAAGCCCCAGCCGCCTTCTGAGAGGACCTGCTCTTTCTCGCTTCCCCCCCTCGCTCGCCGCCGATGGTCACGCCGA